AAGCATCCGCCAACTCCTGGACAGTCTGTGGTGCAACGTGGTGTTGGTGGATGGAGCGAGACATGATGTCCCAGATGTGCTCAATTGGATTCAGGTCTGGGGAACGGGGCAGCCAGTCCATAGCATCAATGCCTTCCTCTTGCAGGAACTGCTGACACACTCCAGCCACATGAGGTCTAGCATTGTCTTGCATTAGGAGGAACCCAGGGCCAACCGCACCAGCATATGGTCTCACAAGGGGTCTGAGGATCTCATCTCGGTACCTAATGGCAGTCAGGCTACCTCTGGCGAGCACATGGAGGGCTGTGCGGCCCCCCCAAAGAAATGCCACCCCACACCATGACTGACCCACCGCCAAACCGGTCATGCTGGAGGATGTTGCAGGCAACAGAACGTTCTCCACGGCGTCTCCAGACTCTGTCACGTCTGTCACATGTGCTCAGTGTGAACCTGCTCTCATCTGTGAAGAGCACAGAGCGCCAGCGGCGAATTTGCCAATCTTGGTGTTCTCTGGCGAATGCCAAACGTCCTGCACGGTGTTGGGCTGTAAGCACAACCCCCACCTGTGGACGTCGGGCCCTCATACCACCCTCATGGAGTCTGTTTCTGACCGTTTGAGCAGACACATGCACATTTGTGGCCTGCTGGAGGTCATTTTTCAGGGCTCTGGCAGTGCTCCTCCTGCTCCTCCTTGCACAAAGGCGGAGGTAGCAGTCCTGCTGCTGGGTTGTTGCCCTCCTACGGCCTCTTCCACGTCTCCTGATGTACTGGCCAGTCTCCTGGTAGCACCTCCATGCTCTGGACACTACGCTGACAGACACAGCAAGCCTTCTTGCCACAGCTCGCATTGATGTGCCATCCTGGATGAGCTGCACTACCTGAGCCACTTGTGTGGGTTGTAGACTCCGTCTCATGCTACCACTAGAGTGAAAGCACCGCCAGCATTCAAAAGTGACCAAAACATCAGCCAGGAAGCATAGGAACTGAGAAGTGGTCTCTGGTCACCACCTGCAAAACCAGTCCTTTATTGGGGGTGTCTTGCTAATTGCCTATAATTGCCACCTGTTGTCTATTCCATTTGCACAACAGCATGTGACATTTATTGTCAATCAGTGTTGCTTCCTAAGTGGACAGTTTGATTTCACAGAAGTGTGATTGACTTGGAGTTACATTGTGTTGTTTAAATGTTCCCTTTATTTTCTTTAGCAGTGTATATACACACATATACACATACACATATATACACATACACATATACATACATACACACATATATATACATACATACACACATACATATATATATATATATATATATATATATATATATATATATATACACACATACAGTGGGGGAAAAAAGTATTTAGTCAGCCACCAATTGTGCAAGTTCTCCCACTTAAAAAGATGAGAGAGGCCTGTAATTTTCATCATAGGTACACGTCAACTATGACAGACAAATTGAGAAAAGAAAATCCAGAAAATCACATTGTAGGATTTTTAATGAATTTATTTGCAAATTATGGTGGAAAATAAGTATTTGGTCACCTACAAACAAGCAAGATTTCTGGCTCTCACAGACCTGTAACTTCTTCTTTAAGAGGCTCCTCTGTCCTCCACTCGTTACCTGTATTAATGGCACCTGTTTGAACTTGTTATCAGTATAAAAGACACCTGTCCACAACCTCAAACAGTCACACTCCAAACTCCACTATGGCCAAGACCAAAGAGCTGTCAAAGGACACCAGCAACAAAATTGTAGACCTGCACCAGGCTGGGAAGACTGAATCTGCAATAGGTAAGCAGCTTGATTTGAAGAAATCAACTGTGGGAGCAATTATTAGGAAATGGAAGACATACAAGACCACTGATAATCTCCCTTGATCTGGGGCTCCACGCAAGATCTCACCCCGTGGGGTCAAAATGATCACAAGAATGGTGAGCAAAAATCCCAGAACCACACGGGGGGACCTAGTGAATGACCTGCAGAGAGCTGGGACCAAAGTAACAAAGCCTACCATCAGTAACACACTACGCCGCCAGGGACTCAAATCCTGCAGTGCCAGACGTGTCCCCCTGCTTAAGCCAGTACATGTCCAGGCCCGTCGGAAGTTTGCTAGAGTGCATTTGGATGATCCAGAAGAGGATTGGGAGAATGTCATATGGTCAGATGAAACCAAAATATAACTTTTTGGTAAAAACTCAACTCGTCGTGTTTGGAGGACAAAGAATGCTGAGTTGCATCCAAAGAACAACATACCTACTGTGAAGCATGGGGGTGGAAACATCATGCTTTGGGGCTGTTTTTCTGCAAAGGGACCAGGACGACTGATCCGTGTAAAGGAAAGAATGAATGGGGCCATGTATCGTGAGATTTTGAGTGAAAACCTCCTTCCATCAGCAAGGGCATTGAAGATGAAACGTGGCTGGGTCTTTCAGCATGACAATGATCCCAAACACACCGCCCAGGCAACAAAGGAGTGGCTTCGTAAGAAGCATTTCAAGGTCCTGGAGTGGCCTAGCCAGTCTCCAGATCTCAACCCCATAGAAAATCTTTGGAGGGAGTTGAAAGTCTGTGTTGCCCAGCGACAGCCCCAAAACATCACTGCTCTAGAGGAGATCTGCATGGAGGAATGAGCCAAAATACCAGCAACAGTGTGTGAAAACCTTGTGAAGACTTACAGAAAACGTTTGACCTGTGTCATTGCCAACAAAGGGTATATAACAAAGTATTGAGAAACTTTTGTTATTGACCAAATACTTATTTTCCACCATAATTTGCAAATAAATTCATTTAAAATCCTACAATGTGATTTTCTGGATTTTCTTTTCTCATTTTGTCTGTCATAGTTGACGTGTACCTATGATGAAAATTACAGGCCTCTCTCATCTTTTTAAGTGGGAGAACTTGCACAATTGGTGGCTGACTAAATACTTTTTTTCCCCACTGTACATATACACACACATATCCTTTTTTTAAATGTATTTTCCTTTGTTACTTTCAAATCCCACCACCCCTCCCCTTATTGGAGTAAACTAGTGAACAACAACGCTTAGGCCTCTACTTCCAGCTCATACATACTATATACATTTTATGGACACAGTCAATTTTACAATAATTATATTTTGTTTGTTTTTACTCCTGAACTTCCTCTACCCTCAACCTCTCCGATCATTTTCATGATGTCCATCCGGTTTGCCTCTACATGCCATTTCCCCAAACTGTGCTATTTTTTCACAAAAGTTCTCAACCCAGTATGTTTTACATGACTTATTTTGTTGTTATTAGTTGTTATTAGTCCCAACCTTCAGCTCCATTCAACCCCTCCCATCTATCTCTTAACACAATCCATATTGGATTTCTACTTGCCATATATTTTTCAACTGTACTGTGATGTTTCACAAAAGTTCTGAACCCTTCTATTATCATTGTTTCTACAGATTGTAAATTGAAAATTTTTTTTTTTGCTAAAAGTATTTTTATATTATTGATCGTTTGACTAGAAAAATGTTACGTTTTGAATCTGCCGTTGTTATGCGTATCAGTTCATAACCCATTTGCCATGGAATCGGTAAGACAATTTTCTTTAACCAATTATGGTCTTTAATGCAGGGCCGACAGACAAGTTCCTTACTTTTTCCCCCTTCCACTTTCCTCTTCCATTTTTGCGGTAATGCTACAATTATTTGGTTGTAATTTTGGGTAGAACAGACATTTCCATATGTTTATGTTAGCTGCATAACTCCACCAGTTCTACCTATGATATCATTTACGAAGATTATACCTTTTTTATCAATGAGTATATTTGAGTTTAACCACAATATTTGTTGCATTGTTTCTGGAGGATTAAATTGAAATTGCAACCAACTTTCTATGGCTTGTTTTAGAAATAGTGATATTTGGGAGATGATTCCCATATCTTACCTTGCTTCAAAGTAGCCTAGCCAAAATTCGACCAAACGTGCAGGCAATTATTTTATAAAGAGTTGGGTTTATGATTAATCTCCTCCACCCATTGAAACCAGTTTCCTATTTCTCTCATGTTCTATTGATTTTCAAGTCAACTGTCTTTCATTGTCCAGTAGCCAAAGGCGCAATCCTAGTCATATTAGCAATCCAGGCTAGTTTTCTTTAGCTCTCCCCTCGCCAAAAAATTCGAAAGGATATTTTCATCTCTGTCTCGTGAAATAGCTTGCATGTGCAGTGTGCTTTTGACAACAGTGTTTTCCTGCTAATTGCATTATGGAACGAACATTTGCACGTAGCTTACTGCCTTGTGCGCATTGCTGCCCTTATCATGTGAATAAATAATATTTTATCAACATTCTACGCTAAACGTTCTGATCTGTTTCATGAGCCTCAGTGCTCTTTAAAAATGTTTAAGGATGTTGCCTAGGCCTGTATGAATTTGGGATCTATCATCCCACAACTGTCCCAGAGTCTGTTTGGAACAGGCTATTTCTTTCCTCACACAGAACGACAAGCTGACAAATAGAATAGGTAAACTGTTCTACTATGGGGGATAGTAGATTGACATTGACTAGTGATTTTGCTGTTCATTACTCCTCTTGTTGACTGAGGAAAAGTAAACGTGGACAGTTATTCTAACATCTTCAAATTGCGCATCACAATTTGGTAAGGACACACACGGTTGCATCCTGGAGTTGCATGTTCTGTTAAGATGAATTACCATAAACTAAATGTGATTTCTGTTATTCTGAGCAAAGTGGGTGAACGCCCTAATGAGGTTAAGCACCCAATGCATATGGGTCCGGTAAATTTCTTAAATGTCTGGTAAATTAAAATGCTGCCATTCAAATGTCCGGAGCCACATTTTCCTAACGGAAACCCTGCCAACACATTGAATTGACTTCCCTCATTCTTTCAAATCAAGTATAGGCTTTCAGGATTTGTACAGGTACACATTCCCACATAGGCCACATATACTGAATACATGTTAAACTGTAAATAACCATATCATTAAAACCCTGTAACTTACTGCCTGTAAGAAGCGGAAGGAGAGCAGCAGAGAGCGGTCGGCTCCACCCAGATCTGCGCAGTCACTGTATTCTCCCTCCTCCAGTAAATACTGCCATCCTGTGTAGTCCTCTCCAGTGTAGCCCACCCATCTGTCAAACACATAGGTCACAGGTCAAATCACAGCTAAATACTTCTACCCACACAGCTTGAATAGGAGCCTGAGTGTCAATGATACAGTGATGCTGATAACAGTATCTTAGTGGTGGATATTCCACTTGAGATACTGCCAAGGAATGCCTCTGACAAAAAGCAGTGATATCTTTATTGTTTGATTGATCGTGATGTTTGGGTTTTTTGAGATGTTACACTTGAAATGTTATCAGGCTTACCAACCCTCCCTGTTACACACCACACCAAAGCATGCACGCACACACACTTACATATGAACGCACACATACTTCCGGTTCTGCATGGATCATGTTTGCACAGGGAGGTGAGCTACAGTTGCTCTATATGACAGTACACTACAGTAGAGGCAGCATTCCAGAGTAATCACGACCAGCAGATTGTGAAACTGTTTTCAGCAGAAAGACACACGTTATAAAAACCTTAAATCAAGTATGCAGCTTGGACTCACACTCCACCAATGACCCGTAGCGACAACGCCCCCTTCAGCCCAGCCACAGCTCCCAGACTGGGGGTGTGGTTTCCCAGCTCTCTGCCCCGCCCCTGGAAGAGGGGCTGCTCGAACACCAACAGCTATAAAAAAAAAAACTATATCTCATGCACTTTTCAAATTAATTTTCTTCCATTATCATTATAATTAATCATCATCATCATCGGGAAAAGTGATGTGATTATTTAACTGCAGGGTATAGGGGTTTATGCTGTACTTTCACTATTGATAATGTCTTGCTTACCTTAGGATCCAGAGGTCTCCTCACTCGGAGTCCTCTCTGTCAGAGAGACACAGAACACAATGAAACCTAACCTTGATGAGAACAAGGCTCAGTCTTATACAGTGCCTTGCAAAAGTATTCAGACCCCTTGGATTTATTCACATTTTATTGTGTTACAGTGGAATTCAAATGGATTTAATTAACAATCTACATTTACATTTTACATTTTAGTCATTTAGCAGACGCTCTTATCCAGAGCGACTTACAGTTAAGTGAGTGCATACATTATTTGTTTCTTTTTTTTCATACTGGCCCCCCGTGGGAATCGAACCCACAACCCTGAGCTACATCCCTGCCGGCCATTCCCTCCCCTATCCTGGACGACGCTGGGCCAATTGTGCGCCGCTCCATGGGTCTACACAAAATACTCTAATGTCAAAGTGTAAGAAATGTTTTATATTTTTTAAAAGATAAATAAAACATTCTGAACTAAAATATAGTCGTTGCATAAATATTCAGCCCCTTTGTTTAGGCAAGCCTAAATTAGTTCAGGAGTAAAATGTGGCTTAACAAATCCCATAATATGGACTCACTGTGTGAAATAATAGGGGTTGACATGATTCTTGAATGACTAACCCTTCCTCTGTCCCCCATACATACAACATCTGTAAGATCCCTCAGTCAAGTATTGAATTTCAAGCACAGATTCAACTACAAAGACCAGGGAGCTTTTCAAAACCCTAATAAATAAGGGCAGTGATTGGCAGATGGGTAACAATAACAAGTCAGACATTGAATATCTCCTGAAGCATTGTCAGGTTAATAATTATGCTGTGGATTATGTATTAAACCCCCAGACACATCAAAGATACAGTTGTCCTTCTGAACTGAGATGCAGGACAGGAATGAAACTGTTCAGATATATTACCATGAGACCATTGGTGATTTTAAAACAGCTACAGAGTTAAATGGCTGTGATGGGAGAAAACTGAGGATGGATCAACAACATTGTAGTGACTTCACAATAATGACCTAAATTACAGTGAAAAGAAGAATACAAATATACAGAATACAAATATTCCAAAAGATGCAAAAACACAGCAAAGGAATACCATTTTTGGCCTAAATGCAAAGCCTTGTTTGGGGCAAATCCCACACAACACATGACTGAGTAACTGCCTCCTTATTTTCAAGTATGGTGGTGGCTGCATCATGCATGGTATGGGTATGCTTGACATCGGCAAATACTGGAGAGTTTTTCAGGCAAAATCCTAGAGGAAAAACGTCTTCAATCTGCTTTACACGAGACTGGGAGAGGAATTCATCTTTCAGCAGGACAATAACCACACAAGGCCAAATCTAGAGTGGAGTTGGTTACCAAGAAGACAGTGAATGTTCCTGAGTGGACAAGTTACAATCTGCTTGAAGATCTATGGCAAGACTTGAAAATTGCTGTCTAGCCATGATCCCAAATATCTTGACAGAGCTTGAAGACTTTTGAAAATAATAATAGGCAAATATTGCACAATACACTTACCCAAAATTAATAATTAATTAATTAATCAATTAATTAAATTAATATGCCATTTATCAGACGCTTTTATCCAAAGCGACTTACAGTCATGCGTGCATACATTTTTGTGTATGGGTGGTCCCGGGGATCGAACCCACTACCTTGGCGTTACAAGCGCCGTGCTCTACCAGCTGAGCTACAGAGGACCACAAAAGACTCACAGCTGTAATAGATGGCAGATGTGTTTCAAACATGTATTGAATTAGGGAGCTGAACACTTATGCAACCAATATATCTTACTTATTTAATGTTTATTAACCTTTAAAAAATGTTCACATTTTTCTTCCACTTTGACATAATATTTTGTAATTGGTTGTTGATCATTGCTAGATAGCCATTTTCAAGTCTTGCCATAGATTTCTTCAAGACGATTTAAGTCAAAACTGTAACTAGGCCACTCAGGAACGTTCAATGTCGTCTTGGTAAGCAACTCGACTGTATATTTGTATTTGTATTTATTATGGATCCCCAAAATAAATACAAATACATGGATCCCCATTTCTCTTCCTGGGGTCCAGCAAAATTAAGGCAGTTTATACAATTATAAAAACATTACAATACATTCACAACAGATTTCACAACACATTAAGTGTGTGCCCTCAGGCCACTACTCTACTACCAGATATCTACAACACAAAATCCATGTGTACGTGTGTGTATAGTGCGTATGGTATCGTGTGTGTGTATGCATTTGTCTGTGCTTGTGTCTCTTCACAGTCCCCGCTGTTCCATAAGGTGTATTTGTATCTGTTTTTAAAAATCTGATTCTACTACTTGCATCAGTTACTTGATGTGGAATAGAGTTCCATGTAGTCATGGCTCTATGTAGTACTGTGCGCCTCCCATAGTCTGTTCTGGACTTGGGGACTGTGAAGAGACCTCTGGTGGCATGTCTTGTGGGGTATGCATGGGTGCCCGAGCTGTGTGCCAGTAGTTCAAACAGACAGCTCGGTGCATTTAACATGTCAATACCTCTCACAAATATGACATGCATATTATTAATGTTAGCTCTCTGTGTACATCCAAGGGCCAGCTGTGCTGCCCTGTTCTGAGCTAATTGCAATTTTCTTAAATCCCTCTTTGTGGCATCTGACCACACGACTGAACAGTAGTCCAGGTGCGACAAAACTAGGGCCTGTAGGACCTGCCTTGTTGATAGTGCTGTTAAGAAGGCAGAGTAGCACTTTATTATGGACAGACTTCTCCCCATTTTAGCTACTGTTGTATCAATATGTTTTGACCATGACAGTTTACAATCCAGGGTTACTCCAAGCAGTTTAGTCACCTCAACTTGCTCAAATTCCACATTATTCATTACAATATTTAATTGAGGTTTAGGTTTTAGTGAAGGATTTGTCCGAAATACAATGCCTTTATTTTTAAAAAATATTTAGGACTAACTTATTCCTTGCCACCCATTCTGAAACTAACTGCAGCTCTTTGTTAAGTGTTGCAGTCATTTCAGTCGCTGATGTGTATAGTGTTGAGTCATCCACATACATAGACACACTGGCTTTACTCAAATGTCGTTAGTAAAGATTGAAAAAAGTAAGAGGCCTAGACAGCTGCCCTGGGGAATTCCTGATTCTACCTGGAATATGTTAGAGAGGCTTCCATTAAAGAACACCCTCTGTGTTCTGTTAGACAGGTAACTCTTTATACACAAAATAGCAGGGGGTGTAAAGCCATAACACACAGTGCATTCGGAAAGTATTCAGACCCCTTGACTTTCTCCACATTTTGTTACGTTACAGCCTTATTCCCCAAAAAAATTGCATCTCATCAATCTACACACAATAACCCATAATGACAAAGCAAAAACAGTTCTTTAGAAATGTTTGCAAATGTATAACAAATAAAAACGGAAATATCACATTTACATAAGTATTCAGACCCTTCACTCCGTACTTTGTTGAAGCACCTTTGGCAGCGATTACAGCACACCTGTATTTGGGGAGTTTCTCCCATTCTTCTCTGCAGATCCTCTCATGCTCTGTCAGGTTGGATAGGGAGTGTCGCTGCACAGCTATTTTCAGGTCTCTCCAGAGATGTTCGATCGGGTTCAAGTCCGGGCTCTGGTTGTGCCACTCAAGGACATTCAGAGACTTGTACCGATGCCACTCCTGCATTGTCTTGGCTGTGTGCTTAGGGTCGTTGTCCTGTTGGAAGGTGAACTTTCGTCCCAGTCTGAGGTCCTGAGCGCTCTGGAGCAGGTTATCAAGGAATTTTGAGTCTCATAGCAAAGGGTCTGAATACTTATGTAAATAAGGTATCAAAATATATATTTTATTTATTTTGTATAAATTTGCAAAGAAATCTAAAAACATGTTTTGGATTTATCATTATGAGCTATTGTGTGTAGATTGATGAGGAAAAAAAACAATTTAATCCATTTTAGAATAAGGCTGTAACGTAACAAAATGGTGAAAAAGTCAAGGGGTCTAAATACTTCCCGAATGCACTGTGTCTTCCAACGCCCCTGGGATAATGTACATTTGCTGAAGCATTTAGACAACTCAGCGACACAATGGTAGGGATTAACTGAGCTTGGCTTGGGTCATTGATAAGTCATTGTCTCAACGCAGCCTTATAATGCTGTGAAACAATCCAGGAACCCAAATGATTTGGGTGGATCCCATCCTCCTTATAAAACGAGCTTTGTTTCCAGAAGATAGTCAATAAATGTTACACCCACAGAGCTGCAATAGTCTCATAGCCAGTTATAGAGGGCTAAAAGTCTGCTGAAACATTCAATGCCACGATTTAGGGAGAGAGAGGGCCATTATGGAGCGTTTGTTGGTGTCAAGCAGTGACCCAATCAGTTCTTTAAAATCCATCTTCAAAAACTATCAAAGAGCACAAGTACAGGACATCAATAAGCTGCCCTTCATAATTTCATTGAATCCCACATGAACTATGATAGACTCAATTTCCTGATGCTTGTTTAAAATGTTTGGGAGCAGCTTATTGATGTCCTGTACTCTTGCTCTTAGATAGCACAACGTTTTTGCTCCAGGAACTGAGACATTTCTCAGCATTGAACTGCCCAACACAACGGTCGGAGAAGGGAATGGAGAAATCCGCCCATTCCTACCCCTCATACAATTCGTTGAACCTTTCACGGGTCCACGAGAATCAGTATAGCGTACGCCCGCTGCTCCCGGCAACAGGTCCAGACCTCCCACAGCAGGCAGTGCCCCGTCAGATCCAGAGAGAGGGAAAGGAGCCGAACTCGACAACGAAGCCGGTGCTGGAGACAGCGTAGTTGGAGTCAGCACCGCCGTCGCAGACACAGGCAATCCCAGCGATGAAGGCGCAGGTAGATCAGGCACCAGCGCAGTGAAACTATTCCTTATATATTTGGCCTTGTGTTTTAGGTTATTGTCCTGCTAAAAGGTGAATTTGTCTCCCAGTGTCTGTTGGAAAGCAGACTGAACCAGGTTTTCCTCTAGGATTTTGCTTGTGCTTAGCTCTATTCCGTTTCTTTTTATCCTCAAAAACTCCCTAATCCTTGCCGATGACAAGCATGCCCATAACATGATGCAGCCACCACCATGCTTGAAAATATGAAGAGTAGTACTCAGTGATGTGTTGTATTTGCTCCAAACATAACGCTTTGTATTCAGGACATAAAGTTAATTTCTTTGCCACATTTTTTGCAGTTTTAGATTAGTGCCTTACTGCAAACAGGGTTCAATGTTTTGGAATATATGATCCATCCTCAGTTTTCTTCTATCAAAGCCATTAAACTCTGTAACTGTTTTAAAGTCACCATTGTCCTCATGGTGAAATCCCTGAGCGGTTGCCTTCCTCTCCAGCAACTAAAGTTAGGAAGGATGCCAGTATCTTTGTAGTGACTGGGCATATTGATACACCATCCAAAGTGTAATTAATAACTTCACCATGCTCAAAGGGATATTCAATGTCTGCCTTTTTTTTTTACCCTTCTACTAATAGGTGCCCTTCTTTGCGAGGAAAACCTCCCTAGTCTTTGTGGTTGAATCTGTGTTTGAAATTCACTGCTCGACTGAGGGACATGACAGATAATTGTATGTGTGCGGTACAGAGATGAGGTAGTCTTTAAAAAATCAATTTTAAACACTAGTCCATGCAATTTATTATGTGACTTTTTAAGCAGAATTTTACTCCTGAACTTATTTAGGCTTGTCATACTTATTGAATACTTCTTGACTCAAGACATTTCAGCTTTTCATTTTTAATTAATTTGTTTTTTTAAATCACTGACATTATGGGGTATTGTGTGTAGGCCAGTGACACAAAATATCAATTTAATCCATTTTAAATTCAGGCTGTAACACACATTTTTATTGGAAAAAGTTAAGGGGTGTGAATACTTTCTGAAGGCACTGTATATTTCTGAGAGATGTTGAAACATAGCCTATTACATTGAAGAAATCCTATGGGCAAATTCTACCCGGCTAAAACGATGGGCCAATTCCAATGTCAAAATCAAATATAAATTCCTTTCCTGCGTGGATAGCATTGAAATGGAATTGAGCCCAACCCCGACCACAGCCAAGCAGTGTCAGCCACCTCGGAGTGATGTCACCTTGGTGAAACCTTACCATTCTGAGGGGTCTCAGTGACCTCACAGCGGTGACCTGGGGATGACCTGCGCCAGATGTTGGGGAGCCACCTGCTTCCATAACTGCATAGTTCCCATGGAAACCAGGGTTGTCATAGGCAAGCCAACTAAGGTGGAAAAACAAGATCAAGGCATTATAATCTAATCTCTCTTGTTTGCTATTCAGATGCTTTTGCTACAAGCATCTGGTGTATTTGACATTGTTTTCAAGTTACAGGTAAACATTATCAATTTATGTCAGTGGAGGCTCCTCAGAGGAGGAAGGGGAGGACCATCCTACTCAGTGTATTTCAGAAACATTTTAAATAATGAAACATTAAAAAAGTTATCCTTTTTAGATAAAATTATACTAAATATATTCATGTCACCAAATACCTGATTAAAACACAATGTTTTTCAATGAAGGTCAACAGTAGTCTCAACAACACATTCTAGGCTAGCACCATTGTGTAGCCAGAGGACAGCCATTTCCCCTCCTCCTCTGGCTACATTGACTTCAATACAAAACCTAGGAGTCTTGTAGGCCTTACCCCCTTCCATAGCCCTACATGGTAATTATGACCACTTCCGGAGGACGTCCTCCAACCAATCATAGCTTTTGCAATATGAACTGACATGTTGCCCATCCAGTCATAGGATTAGGATCAGAGAACGAACCTAGTGTGGTGTATTGGGGTTGTGCCACAGAGCATTTTGGGGTTTCTATGTGTTGAGAAGCTTGGTGAGTTGGTGACATATTGGATAGAGATTGAGAGTGAAGCATTAGTTGAGCATAGTTGAGCATTTTTAGGATATCATTCAATTAAAATTAGTTTATTCAAACTACAGGAGACGGAGGAGGTAGATTATATATTGTTTTATTGGTTTTAGAACTTTATTTTTGTGTGGAGTTAGCAAGGCAAATTGAAATAAATTGCACTAACTTAGGTATCAAGTAGCTAGCTACCAGAGTGCAGTTTTCTCCGCCAGAATGGCTAGCTAATGCTAACAAAAATGTTGTGGATTTTTTGTTGAAGAACCCCTTTCATTGCCCACATCAGATTCAAGCTGTAATGGACGAACGTCTGCATATTCAAATTGTGCAACAACAACAAGAAGGTAAGAAGAAACAGGGTCACAAGCAGCTTATCGGCAAGAGTTGGCTTTTACTTAAGGGCACGATGAGCAGGAAAGTTCAGATAACAAGGGCAACTACAAGGAGCTTGCAGAGATAATTGCACATTACGATGCTTTACTTGCTGAGCATATGGAACTTCCTCATGTCTTCTCTGGGATGTCGAAATCAATTCAGAATGATTTGATTGCTTCCATCGCATCATCCAATAAAAGTGAGATTAAAAAGCGAGCTTGACTCCGGACAGACACAAATAAAAACTAATTACATAAATGTTGCAGCAGCCTAGGCTACACCTAAACATTAGAAATCTGACATGCTGTATGGGATGAAAACCAGATGATTTTTCAGTCTGATCAACTGTAGGCTACTAATATAGCAGCTGCATACAGCCTATGCACCCTGTCCATCTGGTAAGGGTAAACTAATTGGTAACGTTAAGTATTTATAGTCCATTTGTGTGTCAGGAGAAAATGTGAATGTGATCAAATTTGGTTTATATTCAAACTTGGGCTGGCTAGGCTGCCTATACCTTTTCAATCCAAAATGATTAACTGGAATTAATCAATCAACATAATAGTGATGACATAGACTGTGAGTAAATGTTTAATTAGGCCTACAATATGATGTACTGTTTTATATTTTGTTTTATATGTAATGTAAGTGTTTTAATATGTTTGGACCCCAGGAAGAGCTAATGGGGATCCCTAATAAATACAAATACAGTTGCATAGGCCTGCATGATGCAAACATGCATTAAGCAAGCTCAGCCCTGTGAGTTCTATTGTCCATCCATGTTGTCTCTCTGTCTGGGTAGAGGAAACCCCCCTATTAGTCTAGTCTAAATGTATAAGGTTGCTGCAGTTTGACAGGGTTCTCATCCTCCCCAGGGCCAGGAGTTTTTTTACAGGAGTTTTTTTAAACTATGTGATCTGATTCGAAAAACTGGTCCCATCATAGCCCGTATAAAACCTTTTTAATCACTGTCATACCCTATAGGGTCTGGAGTTTTCCTGGTTAGTTTACCAGATAAGGAAAAACTCCAGATCCAAGGGGGAAAACATTTCCCCACCACTCTGGGACCTATGGTGCCACCAGTCTGCTCGCAGTTGTCAGTTATCGTCAGGTATGTGGATGATCAGAGCTTTATTCAGAAACGTTTCTTGGGCTACTTTGATGTGTCAAGTGGGAGAAATTCGCAGTCTGTGTTCAACTTTGTGAATTCTGAGATGTCGGAGTTTAACTTCATGGAGAAACTTGTTGCCCAAACCTATGATGGCGCTGCTGTAACAGAATGTATCTGCTATTTATATTTACAAGTCCTTTCCTGTTCCTGATTAAGAGGTGATGACCTCTCCACTCCACTACCATTGTCAACTCTCTCCTGACATTAACTGAAGCCATGTTTCATGTGCCCTCTCATCCACTGGCACAGTGAATGTTTCCTCTTCAAGCACTGTGAGTAGACCTGTCAATTTTTTGTCATTATTGTATGTAGAGTCAATCACATACACAAACACAATCATATTATTACACATCAATGATTATACTCCTTGCTTGGACAAACAAATTCTTAGCTCTTTTGTCTAACTGTGTAGTGTGTTGTGTTATTGTTTTTTGTCTTCCCAGTCAAATCATGTCCTGCCCTCAGTGGAAGAGTTGAGCTTTTCTCCAACACCATCCATCCATGATGGTCCTGCACTGAAGCCTATGAACACCTCAACCCCTGTCCTGCACTGAAGTCAAGCCTCTGAACACCTTAACTCATTACATTTACATTTACGTCATTTAGCAGACGCTCTTATCCAGAGCGACTTACAGTTAGTGCATACATTATTATTTGTAATTTTCATACCCCATGGGAATCGAACCCACAACCCTGGCGTTGCAAACGCCATGCTCTACCAACTGAGCTACCTCCCTGCTACAGCAGAGCCTGGATTCGAACCAGGATCTCTAGTGGCACAGCTAGCACTGCGATGCAGTGCCTTAGACCACTGCGCCACTCGGGAGACACAACTCATGCCTCATACCCTCATTCAATCACTGCTGTGATCCCTTCCCAACACTCTAAGTAGCCCTCTCACTCCCATTCCCCATTATATTGTACTATAAATGTCTTTATTAAATGCTTTAGGTTAAAATAATTAGTCCGACGGTTTTTTAAACACGGTTTGTTGTCTCCATGCGGTCCGCGCCTATGTGGGTCTCCCATCCTCCTCAATGTTCAAAGTCACCAGCCTCTACTGATTTATGTGGCATCGCATTTATGGAGGCTTCTAAGTTCATTGCTTAATGCATGAACTGTATGAATGCATGATCAAAAACCAATACTTGGGATATACACTGAGTATACAAAACATTAAGAACACATGCTCTTTCCATGACATAGACTGACCAGGTGAATCCAGGTGAAAGCTATGATCCCTTATTGATGTCACTTGTTAAATCCATTTCAATCAGTATTTATGAAGGGGAGGATACAAGTTAAATAATTATTTTTAAGCCTTGAGACAATTGAGACATGAATTGTGTATGTGTGCCATTCAGAGGGTGAATGGGCAAGACAAAAGATTTAAGTGCCTTTGAACGGGGTATGGTAGTAGGTGCCAGGCGCACCGGTTTGTGTCAAGAACTGCACCGCTGCTGGGTTTTTCATGCTCAACAGTTTCCCGTGAATATCAACAATGGTCCACGACCCAAAGGACATCCAGCTAACTTCACACAACTGTGGGAAGCATTGGAGTGAACATGGGCCAGCATCCCTGTGGAACGCTTTCGACACCTTGTAGAGTCCGTGCCCCGACGAATTGAGGCTGTTCTGAGGGCAAAATGGGGGGGGTTGCAACTCATTATTAGGAAGGTGTTCCTAATGTTTGGTATACTCAGTGTATATTGAGAACTCTCACACTGTATATACAGTGCATTCGGAAAGTATTCAGACCCCTCCATTTTTCCACATTTTGTTACGTTACAGCCTTATTTTAAAATGGATGAAATAATATTTTTCCCCTCATCAATCTACACACAATACCCCATAATGACAAGGCGAAAACAGGTTTTTAGAAATGTTTGCACATTTATTAAAAGTAAAAAAACAGAAATAGTTTATTTACATACGTTTTCAGACCCTTTGCTATGAGACTTAAAATTGAGCTCAGGTGCATCCTGTTTCCATTGATCATCCTTGAGATGTTTCTACAACTTGATTGGAGTTCACTTTTGGTAAATTCAAATGATTGGACATGATTTGGAAAGGCACACCCCTGTCTATATAAGGTCCTATTTAAGCAAAAACCAAGCCATGAGGTCGAAGGAATTGTCCGTAGAGCTACGAGACAGGATTGTGTCGAGGCACAGATCTGGGGAAGGGTACCAAAACATTTCTGCAGCATTGAAGGTCCCCAAGAACACAGTGGCCCCCATCATTCTTAAATGGAATAAGTTTGGAACCACCAAGACTCTTCCTAGAGCTGGCCGCCTGGCCAAACTGAGCAATCGGGGGAGAAGGGCCTTGGTCAGGGAGGTGACCAAGAACCCGATGGTCACTCTGACAGAGCTCCAGAGTTCCTCTGTGGAAATGGGAGAACCTTCCAGAAGGACAACCATCTTTGCAGCACTCCACCAATCAGGCCTTTATGGTAGAGTGGCCAGACAGAAGCCACTCCTCAGTAAAAGGCACATGACAGCCTGCTTGGAGTTTGCCAAAAGGCACCTAAAGGACTCAGACCATGAGGAACAAGATCCTCTGGTCTGATGAAACCAAGATTGAACTCTTTGGCCTGAATGCCAAGCGTCACTTCTGGAGGAAACCAGGCACCGCTCATCACCTGGCCAATACCATCCCTACGGTGAAGCATGGTGGTGGCAGCATCATGCTGTGGGGATGGTTTTCAACACCAGGGACTGGGAGATTAGTCGGGATCGAGGGAAAGATGAATGGGGAAAGTACAGACAGATCCTTGATGAAAACCTGCTCCAGAGCGCTCAGGACCTCAGACTGGGGCGAAGGTTCACCTTCCAACATGACAACAACTCTAAGCACACAGCAAAGACAACGCAGGAGTGGCTTCATGACAAGTCTCTGAATGTCCTTGAGTGGCCCAGCCAGAGCCCGGACTTGAACCCGATCGAACATCTGTGGAGAGACCTGAAAATAGCTGCGCAGCGACGCTCCCCATCCAACTTGACAGAGCTTGAGAGGATCTGCAGAGAAAAATGGGAGAACCTCCCCAAATACAGGTGTGCCAGGCTTGTAGCATCTTACCCAAGAAGACTCAAGGCTGTAATCGCTGCCAAAGGTGCTTCAACAAAGTACTGATTAAAGGGTCTGAATACTTATGTAAATGTGATATTTCCATTTTGTATTTGTAATACATGTGCAAAAACCTGTTTTTGCTTTGTCATTATGGGGTATTGTGTGTAGATTGATGAGGGGAAAAAACAATTTCATGCATTTTAGAATAAGGCTGTAACGTAACAAAATGTGGAAAAAGTCAAGAGGTCTGAATACTTTCCGAATGCACTGTATACAGTACATTTTCACTCTTCTTTTTTTTGGAAGATGCTTCATTATTTGCCAGGAAAACTATAAAAAAAGAGTACATTTTACATTTACATTTTAGTCATTTAGCAGACGCTCTTATCCAGAGCGACTTACAGGAGCAATTAGGGTTAAGTGCCTTGCTTAAGGGCACATTGACAGATTTTCCACCTAGTCGGCTCGGGGATTAGAACCAGCGACCTTTCGGTTACTGGCACAACGCTCTTACCCACTAAGCTACCTGCGAGTAATGATGAGTAGAATTCATTTTCTTATTTGCTTATTGTACCATGTTAGATTTTTTTGAAGACCTCGACATTGTTGTTGCTATTTTTTGTGTGCTTTGTGTATATGTTGTATTGTGTTACGCTGTTTTTGGTGATTGTGTGTGTGTTTTGTGTATATGTGGTATGTTGTTGTTGGTGACTGTGATATATTTAAAATAGAAAATAACATGATTGAAAGAAACAACAATACTTTGTCCAAAGTCATACAGTCAGTGTCACTAATCTCCACTACAATAGAAACCCCTTTATCTTCTCTGTGAAAGAAAAAACATTGTATTGAAAATCTGTTACTATGGAACAACTAAGATGTCTTGACCTTTTAATGTTTCATTCTGCTTCAATGCAGAAGGTGCAGTGGGTGGTAGTTGAACAATATATAACTATTTTAATGGACGCCAGACAATGTTGACAAAGACGTATAATCTTGTAAAAACTGCTAATGGCCTGGCGTAAATCCTGGCATGCTTCCAAAACATTTAATGTTTGCTGTTGTTGGTTCATCAATCTGTCAGAATTATCAGAGGCTGCTGCATCATACTATGGCAGTCAAATTCCGATCCTAAATGTGGCTTTCTTCTACCGTAAATGTGGGTGTGTTTGTGAAGTTTTACAGAGTCTTTATTGAGGAGTTACCTCAATAACTAGGCTACCTCACTACCTCCACCCTGAAGTGAGTCATGCGAAAACTTCATTTCAAAGTGTTCATTCCTGAACTGGACAGGGCGTCACTTCTACTTGTATATTAGCACCCTATTCTCTTAAACATTCCTGTAATACCCAATGTTTGTGCTTTATAAACACACCTGAAAAGAATACTTTGAGCAGGAAATTGACTTTCCTAGCAGGTGCATGCTAGCAGCTGGAGCTCAATGACTCAGCAGAGAACAATCCACCCAAATTCAGTTGAAACAATTAGACGCCGGTTGGCAAGGACACATCTCCTCAATTAGTAATTTCCCCCGTTGTTTTAGCAATGATGGCGCTTCCTATTTTAGTCTATTTAGCCTGTAGCTACTGAAGCTCTCCCTCACACAATGGCAGTGAGTTCCTCTACACAGTTACAGTTACCACTAACAGGCTAGGAATAGGATAGGGCTCCTCACCAGCCAGACTTAACAGTCAGGTTTGACAGGTGGATAGGTCCACCACGTGTTCCCAAGATGTCCACTTCCGAGTGGAGATGCTCCGTGGCTCCTCCTGGCGCTCCGATCGGAAGCAGATGAATTTCTGGAGTGCCGTCATCCTGAACGGTGAGAGACACACAACAACATTCCCTCAACATGTGGAGACATTCCTCTACACACCGCTCTATCAATCCTGCTCTATCAGGCCCCACTATAATGCCTAAGGCTGAGAGGGAAAGATAGAGGGGAAGAGAGAGTAAGAGAGAGAGAATGTCAGAGAAATAGAGGAGAGAATGAAAGGAGGAGGATTAGACAGAGAGACCCTGGCCCTCTGCCAAAGCTTCAGTGTCCTTCCAGCTGCGTGCTTTTCTGCATTTTACCCCTGTTGTATCCTTTGAGACTACAGCATGGCTACACTGTTCACTTTACAACTGGTCTCTATTCTATTTGTAACAGGGACAGGTTAGTTGAAAACGACAGAAAATCCTATTCAAGCCATGCCATTTAGATGGAGAGGATTAATTAATACAATTTATGATTGACTGAGACCGGAGGCAACTGGTAGGTCTAAATAACTGAACCATTGTCTCCCAATAGAAATGTTGGAGAGAAATCACTAATGGCACATGGCAATGTAATTTAATGGTAATAAATATACCCACCTTTACTAGTCTTCTTATGGAGCCGATGGTGATGGTGGTGGGCTTGTTCTCTGTCCCCTGGCTGACCTGCTGCTGGCCTGGTTGGTGGCTCAGTACAGTCTCCCCTTCCTCCAGCAGCACCCAGGGGCCCCGGAACCCCGGCTCCAGGTACAGCAGCCAGCTACGACACACACACACACACACTGTGTGAGCACCCACTTCGATCTTGCTCTCACACACACGCATTCACACTCTCATTCTCTCTCACCCACTAGTACAAAAAGAGACGCCAGCCACCAACTGACTGCACAGAGCACACACAAACAGAGCAGGGTCATTGCCATGGAAACCTTGGTGACAGGGCCTAGAATTCAAAGACCCCCCCCCCCCTCCCTCAACCCCTACCAGTACACACACACACCCAACACAATAACTATAACAGTTGGTGATTAAAGTTACATGTCGAAGAGAAGATTACAGCACTGTGCTGACAGTAATGGAAATCAATTGGGCTCTCACAAATGTTTTTTTCTTCTGTTGAAATATTAAAAGCTGCTTACTCATGCCCCTGAACGACAGGCCCAGAGCACACAGTAGGGGGCATTGGGAAACCCAGCAGAGTCCTTCAATAGTTCAATATCCCTGCTGAGACCTGACCAGAACACTGCCTTTTATCTGGGGATAAACTTGCCAATATTGTGGATTCTGAAAATAACACGGCGTTGTGATGTATGCAGTGTAAACAACACTATTGTGTGTGTGTGTGTGTGTGTGTTTGTGTCGCCAGTAGCCCATAAACAAGTATTTTCAGGGACTTTTTCCCATGTTAATCACTGTCCCCTTCCATAAATAATCTATGTGGATGGTCAGGAACTGCTTTGAATCGGTAGCAATCTGTCTATTTTGACTCAGACAGTCAGGATTCTCCTAAAAGGCTTAGGCTGCTTTCACTGATTATACATCCACCATGAGAGACAGAGATCAATAGCTCCTGATAGGATAGGCTGCTGGGGATGAGGCCCAAGGAGGGAGGAAGCATCTCACGAGAAAATCTATTCCCTCATAATTAGCATGTAGGGGAACGTATTTGTGGCTCACACCTTCACTGATGAACTTGAACTGAATTCAAAACGTTGAATGACCAACACTCTGGGCATCCACTAGTAGTTTGCTGAGTCAGATAGTTGAAAATCTGTCAAACTTGAATAAGTCAACCTGTAAAGTAGCCCTTGTACTGCAAATCAAAACTAGTTTGGGGAAGAACTAAACGGTCCTTCACATTACTTCCTCTGTGGACCGTAGAGGGAACAATGGGACGCCAGTCGGTCGGTTAACCTAAGAAGTGGATGGGGGAGAACACAGAAGCACAACAACGCAGCTGCAACGTGATTCGCTTCCTCTCTCTCCACCACTCTTGTGGACGGGGGAGAGAGCTCCCACTCACATGGTCTGAAAGCTGCTTTGCCTTTCCCACTTTTTGTTTGGGAATGACGGTTTGGTGTAAATAATACAACAGGACTAGAGCTCTGAAAGGGGGGCTGAGCCAATGTACTAGTACACAAATGGAAGGTGGGTCCATCCATTAAGCATGAGATATTGCGTAAGGCACCAAACTTTCGCTAGTGATGCCGCGCAGAGTCGAGCGAGCCTGCCTTTGCGTGAGTCGTTTGACAAAAAGCACACGGCGGCAGAACATGTTCGCAAGACTGAAGGTTTCTCGTTCTGCATCCATTAAATATGAGAGCAGTCTTACAGCATAGCGCACAGCTGCCAGACTTCTCTGTACGTAAATCTGCTTTGCCCCTGGCAGAGAGGCACAGAGACACACTGTCATGTGCATTAGTTAAACCTAGTGCAGCATGATATGAATATTAACAACTAAACTTATTGCTAGTATATATGAATACTTTTGAGCTTTTCCATCATGAAATATAAATGGAACCACCGCAGTAGTAAGATGATATGGAGCTGATAGTACATTGATGTACAGTGTTTTTCCTATATTCATTTAGCATCGGCGCACTACCGCACCAGTGCAGTGACGGCAGTGTTCGTGTGGCTTATTACGCAACCCTTATGACTAATTGTGCCGCCTCACAATGTGATTGGGGCAGAAAGCAGCTTGTGGCATCACATTAAAAGAAGGTCTGGCGAGGGTAGATTAATCAGCAGACAGGCCTATTCAATGGGAGTGAAAAGCGATAAATGACCCAATCACTGTCTGTCACCACCAGCCCAGGAGATTAACCCCCCCCCCCCCACACACACACACACAGTGGGAAGGAACATTATGGGGGCTCAGAGGAATCAATCACGATTTAAACAAAATGTTCTGATTTTGTCTCTTTTTCCATAAGAGTGCATGAGTAAGACAGGGAGGGGATGAGACATGGGTAGTAGTCCAAAGCAGAGGATGACGCTACAGAAGGGCTGGCTCATTCTGATCCAGGTGGGCTATTTTACAGGGGACTTCTACAAGTTTGACAGATTTTCAACTATCTGCTTCAACAAACTCTAGGCCTTGGTCCGTAAGAACCACTTCTGGAAGCCCAGACAGTTGGTCATTCAAAGATGTATATACAACCTCATAAAGAGCATCTTTCCTGTTTTTAGTGAGCAACCTTAAAAGAAGTCCACTTGCTCTAAAGGTCCTCTTACCATCCTCCCAGGACTCGCACCGAGGCACCCTGCAGAAACACCATCCCAGAATCCTCCTGGTCTGTGTGGATCTCCCACATCTCCCCAGAGAATGTCACACCATCATAGATGTTCATCTGAAGAAACAGAGAGGAAGTCATTAGGAAACAGTAGAAAGCAACATGTGCGCTATATTGTAAAATAGATGGTCTGACAGACGACCTCCGCAAATGATCTTTAAACAGAGTTTGATTTATTGACTCAATACAGAGGACACAAACAATAATTAAATGTCATGCTTTTTCAAAGTTTGATCATATTTGTGTTACAGCTGAACTGTGGCGGTTTGGTGTTGTTTTCATGATAAGCTGGGTGCGAGTGAACACAGTCAGGTTTCAAAAGCCAGAGGGGAAGGGTTTCCAGCATGGATCACGGTGCTGAGTGACTATGCCTGAGACCCCTAGACTTAGTTCTGATGAGGAAAAGGGAGAGAGGAGGGGGGCCTAGGACGAGAGAAGGGTGTCCTTAATCCCCCAACCAGCCCACAAGTTGCCTCAAGCAGTCATTATAAAACACTGCCTCTTCTATAATTAACACGCTGTTTTTTCATCCGTTAATCCTACCAGCCTACAAGACTCTGCCTGCTTTCATTCCAAGTCTTGATAGTTTTGCTGCTTTGCTCCCTTTGTTTCATCCTTCAAAACAAATACTTTCTCAGCACGGCTAATGGTACAGAAAAGCTTGGTTGTGTTGTTGCAAGGCAATTCCATTAGTGATTGTGTGAAACAACAATGCAGACAAAATCCCTGGCACCCAGTGCTTTGTTCACTGCCTGTGTTGTGAGCCTATAAACTTCATAATCTATGTAAAACTGCATACAAGTTGTTTGTGGGAAAAACCCATTCCTGATTTGTTTTATTTGGATGAAACAATCTACATATACAGTGCTAGACCACAGGAATATTACTGTGATTGTGCTCCAAGATCCTGACTCACTGTTTCACTGTTGTATTCAGCTTTCAAGGCTGCAGACTGCCATTGGAGGTGGTTTTTACTTGTCATTAGAGTGCTATAGACGAGATCCGCACTCCTTTGTACAGATCCTGAGATACTACAGCCCTCATCAGCAGATGGGATAGCCTTTTACAGCAATGAATAGGCAGTTGCATAATTGAGATCTCATTTCCATTTAGTAAGAGATTAAACTAAAAAAAGAAGAGTTGCTGCCCTACTTTCTACAGCCTGAGGTATCATTAGCTAATGGAAGAGAAATGTTCTGTCCAGCTCAAAGGCAGTCTGGCATCTCCAATCTATTAAGCACAGCGATTAGGAGGCAGACTGCCTCAGAAATTAGCGTGCCAGTGAGAAAGTACTAGTCATGTAAAAGATGGAAACTCACCAGAGTAGGCCTTGGGATGACCTTTCCACAACTCCAATTTCCCCCCTAAAATTATATCAACAGGAGTCAAATATTAGCATATATTAACTTCTTAATGTCTGCATAATGAGCTTTTTATATAATATTGTTGAATAAAAATGTCAGTTGCTGTTGAACTTACCATGTCAGTTGCTGTTGATGGACACTTGTTATTACGGAGGCACGGAACGAGTTTGGCATGATGTTTACTGTTGTCATCATCAGGCTCTGGCAACACTGGCTGCGCTAATTTCAAGTACTGATACATGGGTGAATCTGCAGGCTTTTGGATTGTAATCTGAGGGGTGGACAGATTGTTCAAGTCTTCCGTTGGATCCCCTTCTCGAAGACCCATAGTGAATGGATCAGTAGGAAGTGTCAGAGAGCCTGGGCCCTCCTGCTTGCTGCTTTGGTCTCCATCCATTCCCTGGTCATCCCCCTCCTCACCCTCTGCCTGGCCCCTGTTAAAGAAGTCCCATAGGGGGCGCCGTAGAGGAGGGGTGGAGGGCTCCTCTGAGTCTGCGTCCATGTCGGAGTAGCCACTGGACTGCAGGCGCTCGCTGACCGACTGCAGCAGGGACAGGATGGACAGAGAGGAGGATGAGGCCAGCTGCTCCATCCCCACACCTCCGCTCAGACTCCTCAGCTCCTCTGTGGCTGGGGGCACCATGAGGCCCCTGTCATCCCACGACAGGCTCCCCTCCACCGCCTCCTCACCGCGGAGACTGTCCTCCTCCACGATGGGTGACAAAGAGAAAGGGTAGGCCTTGGCCCGCCGCGCTGTGGGGCTCAGCATGGGGCCTGTGTCATTGACAAACACGGCATCCGTCTCCTCTTCCTCGTCGATAATGGAGAAACCACTCGCCTCCATGTCGTGGAAGGCAAGCTGGGGGACTGGGAGGAGAGGTTCCAGGGCTGGGACTCTCCGGCCTCCTGTAGCCCCTGTAGCATGGAGCCCAGCTAGCCTGCTGCTCAGGTCCTGGTGAAACCCTGCCATAGCTGCTGCTGAACCTGCACCACCGTGTCCTGGTGTCTCTGAGTCCTGACTCTGCTGCTGCGGAGAGACATCGCAGCGATACGCTCTCACCGAGCTCCTCTGTGGCATGTCCTTGTTACCGGAGCCAGGGGCTGAATTAGACTCAAGGCCCTCTGAGGTGCTCAGGTCCGTGGGGAGTCTCCTTGAGGAAGAGGGGTCCACGCAGATGGTTCCTGTGGGTCTGCTGTCGGCCCCATCCTCCTCACCCCCAGAGTCAGAGCCACCTGAGACTACAGAGGCTAAGCAAGTCTCAACCAGGGCAAAGCTTTGATCCCCATTGACCGTAGTGTCATTCGGCCCATTGGTCTCAGTCTGAGGAACATTCAGTGTTATTTCAGGACCGCTCTCTTGGCCTTCATCATGAAGAGTTATACAGGCAATAGGCTTCAGACTTTTAGCATGTCTGACTTGAGATGGTTGTAGTAAGTTTTGCGTGTGTTTTGGTCTGACGGACATAAGGTCTGCCTCAGAATTGCCCTTAGCTTCATGTTTGGAACCTTTCCTAAGCAGATCAGGCTCAGGAAATGCTGTTTGGTTTCTGAAGGAAGTATTGTCATTCAGAGTGCTGTTGAGCTTATTAGGACTTTCAGAGTTATTTGACACAGAAACAGGACCATATTGAGCATTACCATCTTGTTTAGGACTATGTCTGTTGCTTTCGATATCATCTTTGGCTACGTGGACTGCTCCATCTCCTACCTGTGTTTCTTTAACGCCTAGCACCTCGTTATACCCATTGTCCCCTAAAGTGCCGAGCACTTGATCTTTGTTTTCATTTGATTTCCCTGAGACAGACTCATACTCATGACTCGCTCTCATTATTTGAATAATATCCCCACTGTCACCATGGATACCTGGTTTCTCGAAGGACACTCCACCGCTCAAGCGAGGCAACACATCTCCCTGGTGCTTATCGCCACTGTATTCACACGTGATAGGTTTGTTTGGCTGGGAATCCTCTTCCCCTTGCGGATGCTCATTAGCATTAGCATCCATTAGCTGTTGACCTTTGACCTGTACCTGGTGACCAGTGCCTGGAGTCCCCTCGGCACAGTGTTCTCCCTGCCTGTGGTCTGAGACACAGATGGTGGGTGCACTGGTCTCACAGGCCGGCCCAGGGCTGCTCCTGATGTCAATGTCCGAGCCTGCGATAGACTCGTACCCCGAGGAGGGGGTAGACCTGGGGCCCTCCGCCAGAGGGTTAGGGTTCAACGAGAGGGTCTGTTCTGCCGGGAAGGCTGAGGGGTGTTTGTCATCCCCCCTCTCTGAAGGCCTTACCTCCAGGAGCTTATCTGGCTCGAAGGACTGCTCCATGCCCCCCTCCTCTCGACCTACAGATAGGACCAGGTAAGTCTCCTCACTGGCCTTCTGGAGCACTTCATCCCCCTCCAACTCAGAGGATTCTATTCTCTCCTGGGCCGCTAAAGCATTCCTCAGAATGTTATCCACCATCACTTTAGACTCCAAATGAAGGGCCTCATCAAACAGATTGTCTGAAGGACCAGCATCCCCCTCCTCCCCTGACTCAAAGCAGTGCAGTCCAGCACCAGCGCCTGAATCCAGTACATCCCCAGAATCTGAGTGCATAGTTGCTGGCATGGGTCCCTGGCTTTTGGCCACTGATGCAAGCGAGGCGGACGGTGAAATGGGATGCGGAGCCAGCTGGCCTCCATCGACATCAGAAACACCAGCAGGCAGGTGAGTGTGCTGCGCAGTCCCCCCGGCGCCTGGCGGCTCGCTGAGCCACGCAGCAGCAGCTAATGAAGGTGACCCAGTCTGGACACAGTGTGCAGATAAGGTTTCTGTCTGCTCCATCAGCCCTGTGTCTCTGTCCCTGTGTGTGTCCTCGCTGGCCATCTCTGTATGAGTGATTCTATCCCGCGGGCTCTGCTCCCCACTATGGCTCTCACTGCCTGCTGTACTAGTCCTGGCATCAACAGAGTCCTCTGTGGGTGCGTGAGGGGGAGGGGAGCCTGTGACTGAGCCAACACCAGAGAGAAAGTCCTTGGCCTGGGCTCCTACAGTAGGCAGGCCTGCCTCCCTGGGTAAAGGGAAGGCACTTTGACTCCCAGCCCTTTCTGCTGTCTCCGTTGTTAGTGGAATGTGACTAGAGCCAAGTCCAGTTGGACCCAAAACAGCAGAATCTGTTTTGGAAGTCCAAGCTCCTCTCTCATTGGTCTCTGAGGTTGGAGCTCTAATCTGATTGGTCGATATGGTCTGAATGTCACTCTGCTTTGAAATGGTGAGTTCTAAACTGGAGGGTGTCACCCCACCCAAGGGGCTACCCTCCCCCCCGGAGGTTGAACCCCTCCCATGCAGGGCCTCATCCCCCTCTGAGATGGGGAAGTCCACCTGCACCTGGTGCCTCCGCCTCATCCTGCGTCTGTCCCTCTGGCCGCGGTACGTCCCGTATGTCACCACAGGCGGACAGGCCAGGGCCAGCCGCCGCTGATACTCGTCCACCTCCGCCTCACCTTCGCGCAATGGGCCGCTGTCTGCCGCTGCTTCGCCCTCTGTGCATCCTTCCCTGTGGCCTTCCGTCTGCGTCTCCTCCAAGGCTCTATTCATAATGCACAGAGAGACAAGGTGTATAACAATACAGACAAGGACACACATATCTCCCAGTGCTGCTTTGGGTGAGGAGAGGGGGGTTGGGTGATTCATGCATATAAGCAGTGTTGTGTAAAAGGCAGCCACTCATACAGCAGTTCAAGAACATCATCATCAAATATTTAATCAGCAGCTATTGGACAAAGATACGGCATGCCCCAGGGCAATGCATTGATCTACCAGCTTTGACACCCCCACAACCAGCACCTTTTCCGTTCCCTTCACCTCCCCCATCTTAATCCTTCAAAGGACTTGATGAGAAATCAAATAGTACAATGCTTCACAAAAGATAATAATGGTGTTCAGGGGGAAAATACATTTTTCAAGGCTTTTACCTTCCAAACACAATGGTGCTCAGTGTTTTTAATGATCCTCCCTGCCTGGAAAAACACACATCAAATAATTACAGCCATTACAATGACCTCCCCACCCTCTGTTAGTACAAAGCAGCAACTGTCCTCGGTCCTCACCCCAACCGCAACTCGCCCAGATGGTGTTCAATTGATACACTAACGCTGGCGCTTGGCATAGTTTTTTTAATTGATTGCTGCCTGTGTTGGTGTGAGAGAAGAAAACTACAGGGGAGATAAATGCAGGTATCTCCCACAAAGTAAACTAGTCATCTCATAAGGAGTGACAGTGGCTTGGATAATAAAATTGTATCTGAGATTAGGGCTGTTGCGGTGACCGTATTACAGCCACACCGGCGGTCACGAGTCATGAAGGCAGTCAAATTCCACATGACCGTTTAGTCACGGTAATTAGGCTTCTCCAAGCTCTGATGCTGCTGATGGTCATGAGTAGCCTACCAAACTTGCTAACTGCCTGGTACTCAGCACTCTATTGTCCATCTAATCACTCTGACATCAATGCAAATGTTTTCGAAAATCGAATCAAACACTTCATGAGAGCTCATGTTGCACAACATTTCTACAGGCTATGCAATTGTGGGAGAAAACAGAGGGATGGCCACTAATAAAAAGAGGAGCTGTCTATAGGCTAGGCCTACTATATTTATTTCTCAACTTTCCTAATATTAAGCACATTGCTTATATCTACAACAGGAGTATAGGCTACCTGGCTGGCATGAAAATAAACCACGGGAAAAGCGTCCTCCATTCGCTATTTAAGTGCATAGATGACATGTATTTTTCCCCACTGCTCCTGCTTCGATACAGGTGCATGATAATGGTCCATTCTAAATTAAAACAAATGTCACACATATATTACTTAGTATATGTAAATTTAAGATTAAATCAAGAACAGTGTGATGGGTGATAATATTAGCCTATCACTTGTGAATGATGCCCAGCATAAGAAACCTTTTTTCTCTCTACTTTTTCTAATCATAGTCGCACACCTCAATAAGGTTTGTATCACAACTAAAGTGGCCAAATAACTTCTTAAAATTAAGCACATTAATCTGCTTTACATGGGGTGTAGAGCCTAACTGGCATATATAAGCAGCGCGTGAGTTTCAAGTTTAATAATAATAATTATTATTATATTATTAAAAAGTTTGGTGAAGATAATTTTCACCATAAAAATGCACCTTTATAATAAAAGCATTACATGCATAATTACATTTGCGGTCACTTTTGATAATGGTGTTTTCCGCTAATGGAACAATTGCGCTTATAGCCTACTACCATGTGCACATTGCTGCGCTTATAATGGGAAGAAATAGCGTAATAGTTTATCAACATTTTAAGCTAAATGTTCTGATCTGTTGCGTCAGCCATATTGCATAAAACATTTTTTGGATGCTAGTGGTTGTGTTAATTTGGGATCTATCGCATCCCACAACTGTCCCAGACTATGTTTGGAATATGTATTTATTGCTCAGAATAGAATAGGTCAACTTTTGTACTATGGAGGATAGTAGATTGACATAGTGCTTTTGCTGTTCGTTAGGCCTACTCATCTTGTTGGCTGATGAAAAGTAAATGTGGACAGTTCTTCCAATATCTTCAATATGCACCTCGGAATTGGATAAGGACGCGCGCAGTTGCGTCCCCGATGTGTCGGTCTTAACTTGTAGCCTGTGAGAAAGACCCGATCACATGACAGAGAGCCATGTGAGTGAGAGACGCTTTGGATTGCTCAGCACACTCAGGGAGAAGGGCACAACGCAACACTCCGGGCCACAAAAGGCATGGATTTTTTTAGGGTGCATTATGGCCACAAAGGGGATGCCGCCATGAAATTCGGGGCATTATCAAGGGCTTGTCAAATTGTGAATGAGAGACTATTGGAGTGTGCAAAAAAACAAAGCAGAGCTCATGCCTTTTAAGCAACTTTTTTCAAATCATCATTAGAGTCTCATCATGCAGCCTTCCAATGTTTTACAAATCAAAACATATAGGCCAACGTTTGTAGAACAACTGAAGCTACATGAATAACTCTAAATTAAGCATATAGGAGTACCTATTTCTTTGTTTACCGCTCAACACAGAATAGCCGCGTGTGCACACTCCCTCAAATCGTTTGGAGAAAATATTTCTATTTTATTCAGCTTTGTTCAATTATAGTCTTCATATTATAAAATAATATAAAATAATGCCACGGAATTATAAGCAAATCTTGTCTGCTAAATGAACTATTGTAGCCCACAGCCATTTGGCATAGCCACATCAGGACCTAACATAAGGACAACTCTGTTCTTCTGAAATAGACTACATTTTCTTCATATCATGCTTCTTTAGACCTGTCTAAAATAAATAATGTATAGGCTATATTACATGGATGTATTATACTTTTTTAAATGGCTTGTAGGCTATGTGTGGAAGCCAGGAGATGCTAAATGTGTTTATGTTAATTCACGGTCAATTATCGTGAGACCGACAGTTATTTGCTTGACAATCACCGGCTGACGACATTTCGTGACCGCCACAGCCCTATCTGAGATGAACTATATAATCAATGTCAATCTAAATAAAGCTGGTAGCTTTTTCAAGGGGGAAAAGGACACAAAACAGCAGGCTGGTATTAGGTTTAAGAGTTCAACTTATTGGATGAGTCAGCCTGAATCATGAGGTGATGAGGTAATTTTGGTTGATTTGAGCCATGTTTTCATGGCTCAAATTATGAGGTTTACGGCCCCAAAGATCTTGTCACAATAAAGCACTTCAGTGGGTCCTTCTACAGAATGAAAAGAAGAAACCCCATTGCAACAAGTTAGAATAAACATATTATTATTTATAGATACTTATTGATAGATATTTCCTTGTAGCTCTACTCTTCACAATCAGTTCTTCTCCAGCTCAAAAAAGCCTTTGGTATAACAACATCTGATTGGATTCTCAAGAGGACTATAAATACAGTACATTGATGAGTAGCTGATTGTTTGTCTGTAGCGTTGTCTTGATGGCTGTCAAGTTTTCAGACTCCAAGGCCCCAGGGGCATCAGTGTAACGTGACAGCTCCCCACAGGATTCCGTGTACAAACTGTGGCTTTGACACATAATAGACAGGAGCACTGATAGATTACTCTTATAGGTGCTTGATTAAGCCACAAAATATGAGTCACAGTGTGTATGATGATGTGTGTGGCATGGGAGGAGTGGATACTTTAGGCCAAAAATATGACACTGTCTTTATTTGACCAACACTATATTTAATGTAAAATTCTATCATGTACGTTTACATTTCCTTTTAGAAAATGACAGTTGTAACACTTGTTAAAGGGTGTGAACCACTCAAGCTACTTGACTGCAACAACATGTTTTCCAATGACTGTGCGACTTCATATTGAAAGGATTCTGTGGTCTGTACAAAGCACTAATCAGTATCGAGAAGGGAAGCCAGGCTGGCTCATTCCTGCAACTGAGCCATGCTCACACTTCCTGCTCCCCAGCCAAATGTCTGAAACCATTCCAACCAGTGATGCTCTTCCTGCCCTGCCAGTATCTCGGACGCACAGGGACGAATCATTACAAACATTTCCCCTCTACATGCTGTGCTGTGTGAATCAGTCTGACGACAGTGTGTGTGTGTGAGCACGTAAGCACGCTCTAGTGTCAAAGGATCAAGATTCCGGTGTTTCCATGCAAAGTCTCCCCACCCTGACTTAGCACCAGTAACTGACTGGCTGCCAGGACAGCTTAGCTAGAGCCAGACGCCCCCACCCACCCACTCACACAATAACCAGGCACCCTTGCCTACACTGGACAATTATCCTGCTCTCTCTAGCTTCCTGAACACACACACAGCCTACATAATACCATGGCTCAATGACAGAACCGCCGGAACCACAAGAAACCATTGTCAAAGAATGTAGCCCTGTAAGATTTGTGCTCTACAATAAGCTACTAAATAAGCTAATAGTTAATCTCCTACGGTAACAAGACTTTCAAAGTCATGCTCAACTTTCAGAAGTCAGCTGCACTTGTGTTTTCAGTCTTGAGGCGAGGTGACACAAAACATTCATATTCAATCAAAAGTCAGCATCCATAACATGTATAGCATAGGGTAGTTGCCAGAATGAGTATGAAACATTGCAATGAAATGTTTCCCCCTCAGTTTCAGTGGTTTTCAGCTCACAAATATGGCTTACTTTATAGGAATGTTGGAATGACATACAATAGCAGCTAGATAAAGTTAACATGCATTCATGGCACAAGTATACATGGGTGTCCTTCATGGTGTGTCGTGTCTGTGGATTCAATGGTGTATGGACTGTGGTGTGAATGTCTGGAATGCTGTCTGCGGACTCGATGTTGCATGTCCTTTGGTGTGTGCGCGCACGTGTGTGTGTGTGTGTGTATGCTGTGGGTTCTCTGGTCTGCTGTGGTCTGTCTTTAGTTATCGGCCGATGGCTTATCTCAAACAGCACCACCCCCTCTGAGAAAAACAACGTCTCTTCCTCTCTCTCCCTCCCACTCGCTCCCTTTCATCTCTCATTCTATTTCTAGCTCATGGTCATTGCGTTTGTGCGATGAGGAGAATCCACTGGTGTTTGATAACTATTGGCCCAGACAGTGCTTTCCAATCCCCTATTTAATCAA